AAGCTTACAAAGCCGGCAAGTGGTGAACTAGTTTGGGTCTCTGGACATGTTGTCTGGTTCTTTTCACACCATATTACACTGCTCCTCAAAATTCACCTGACTTTGTAAGTTAGTTCTAATGTTAGAAGAGTTACAATAGCAACTACATGCTGCCTATATAAAACTACAAAACAAAGTTAGTATCATTTTAAGTAGTCAAAATGGGTTTTTTTCCTAGAATATTTATTATTACTTTTATAGGACAATAGAGCATATATATATGGAATTTTCCATTTCAATATTCATAATTTCTTATCTTTTTTACATAGACTCTTTTCGATTCTAAGGTTTTCACTTAACAAACTACTCAGTAAGGGCCCCTCTGTGTAACTTAAAATAAAAATGATGACCTAATTCTATGTGGTCTATGTGTTATAGTAATCCTAACAAATTTGAAAATGTTCAGTGCTTAAATAGTCATGTTACATAGGATTTAATGTTCCTGGGAAAAAATAGAGTAGTGGAGGCAGGAAAGTTTTTGACAGTGTGGGACACCAGACAAGGAAAAGATTGACCTGGGATGGGGTCGGGAGGGAGAGAACCAAAAAAGGAAAGTAAAGAAATCAGCAGCTTCCTGGAGCTGGGGAAGGAGGCCCCCTGCTTTTCAAGTGCTGCGTCTAAGTGACCTCTGTTGCTTATTACTTGGGTATATTTGGAGTTAGTGACACATAGCAAAATGGCACATGAATGTAGGAGCTTCATATATAAAAATGTTTTGATTCAGTAAATAGGCTCAGTACTAGAGATCTCAGTTAATAAGTAAGCAAATAAAACCACCATCATTTTGGGTGTTGACGAATTGTTTCACTTTAGAAGCTGTCAAGATAGGTTCTTGATTTGGCTGGGTTTCTTATTTCTAAGTTAGGAAGAAAAAAGCACTCCTCTTTGACCTGTGGGGTTTTTCAGTTTTCTTATTACCAGTCTGATGAGATTGTATCATTTAGTTATTTGTGATTCTCCACCTTTGTGGTTCTATTTTAAACAAAATAAGGAATAAGAGCCATACATTTCAGTCATTTCATTACCCAGGATGTTAGAAGTGAAACTCCAGGGGAAAATACATTTATGGATGTTATTCACCTTTTAACTAGTGTACAGTATGAGTATAATTTGGAACATTGTCTTCCAGAACTTAAGGAAGGGAAGAGGAAGGGAACTAGCATTTGCTGAATGCATACCGTGTGCCAGGCACTGTCTAGACACATTGACATACATTACAGGGTTATAGTGAGTATTACATTAGATAATCTATCCCCATTTTACAGATGAAGAAACTGAACTTGCCCCAAGTCACATGGCTGGTAAGTGGCAGAGCTAGACTAGAACCCAGACTCCAAATCCCATACTTTTTCTGTTATACTGTGTGTTTAAAGCTCACAAAGAGAGAGAGATGAAGTTAAGGACCAGAATTGAGAGTTCTAGGAATTAGAATTTTGAAATATTTTCCCATGAAATATTTGATACTAAACCTAAACAATTTTTTTCATGTCAGGAGTTAAATGATTGGAAACAAACTGTAATTAGACCTCTGCTTCTAAAATGCCAGGTGTCTAAAGAAAGACTTAGGAAATAATGCCTTTTATCAAGCAGGCCAATTTGAATTAATACATAGCATCTTGTAGGGCTTTTCATGTCTTAGTGTTAAAGACTCAAAGACTTAGTTATAATAATAGCTAATCGTTTATAATAATAAGACTGCTTATTTTAAGCATTCCAAATGACCGTGCGCTTGTGTAAAAACCTGAGAAGTTCAAAATATACTTCATAGTGCATGTGTAAACTTAATCAAGCACTCATTATATGCCAAGTACTGTGCTAGATTCTAGGTGATACCAAGGTAAAAAGGTATTCCTGACTTGTCTTTTAACTTTTTGCTGCCTTAGAATAAAATTAGTATGTCAATATCTTTTTCATATTACCTTTCTTCAATCATGATTTTAAAGCCCCCATTGATGACCCATTTATTTTCCGAAGTAATTTACACAGTGAAACTCTAGAAAGAAAAATAGTTTGGACACTTAGTGTAGTTAGATGGAACAGGAATTAGCCTTTATAAGAAAGACTACAGGGATAAGAATGTGCCACCAAAGAATGTAGGATGGTTCTTTGAACTGTGACTCTAGGTATCTAATCTGCCTTAAATTACCACTGAATTCATAATATTGGAAACTGAAGGTAACTAAGATAAAAACTTGTTCTAACTAGTTTTAAAAACAAAACTTTTGATATTTGGATTTCCTCAAAACATGAGATTCTCTTTTCCCACATCTTTTAAATATATTTAACAAGATCATACTTGAATATATGGAACTTATCCAGTGATATTTATTCAGTGGCCATTAGAAGTGAGCCATATAGATTCTTAGGGATATTACAGAAAGCAAAATACTAATTCCTACTGATTAGTATAATTAGTATAATTTGTATTTCTGGCTTGAACTAATGAGTTACAATCTGAGTTTTGTTGAGATAAAATGAATATAACGTATGTCTGAAATAGTATAATAAAATCCAGTTTTCTGAAAGACCAAAATACATCCAGATATATCATTCCCTTCCTATTTACCATTTTACAGTGATATTTTTTCCTGAGCTATTGCTCAGTGTTTTCAGAATGCTTCCTTTGGAATTGCCATTATCCTGAAATGGTGGCTCAGTTGGTGCTTTGAGGGTGATTTCAGCTTTGGAAACAGGCAAACGTTTAGTACCGTTTCTGGTTCTAAAACTAGTGGGTGAATTTTTTTTTCATCTGTGAAGCATTCCTGCCTCCTTTTCTTTTTTCTTCAAAAAAATGGATACTCTTAAACTAACTTTCTCATTTTTGTATATCTATAAGCATTTTGCTTTAACTTTATAGTATGGAAAATAGCTGATATATACAAAATGAAAGAATATAATGATGCTTCTGTGCCTTCTGTTAATGTCATCACATTTTGTGGGCAGTGTTTGGCAAGAACAACCCTACGCCAAGGTCTGCATCCACACCGCCTGTGAATGTCAACGTGATGACACTCAAACTTCTGATTCATCATGGCTCTTGTCCCAGTTTTAGCTTTGTAGCTTCCAGCTGTTCCATTGTTTCAGCCTTTATTATCCCATGACCTTCTTCCCTGGATGTGGACAAAGACAAAAGAGGGGAGAACTATGTTATTCTATGCTCTGTTTTGTCTCCTCTAACAATATGATTAACATATTTTTAAAAAATCATTAGTAAGTTAACAGTTTATAATGGATTTTTTATTGATCTTAAATATTTCAAAGCTATAAAGTTTTCCAAGACATAAAATGAAACATATGTGTTTACAGTATTTTACGTAGTCACACAAAAACAAATTTAGGTATCTTCCCAAGTTTATTAATAGAGATTTGGCTGGTGATCATCATATTTATCAGAGTTACTATTTGTCACCACTATTTTTTAAATTGTATGTAGAAGGAAGAAGCACTATAACCTTAAAATAGCATTCTTGTTTATCTTATGAAGACCTTTAAGTGATCTTCCCCCAAAGCCATATTCTTTTTTGGTTTTATTCTTTCATCTAATTCTTGAGCCCATGGGGTAAAAAACCCTGCCATTTACCCAAAAAAAGCATGTAGATAAATTTGGTGAACCTTTTAAACTGCTTGGCTCTTTTTAGTGAAGATAATCTATTTAAGTGAAAAAAGTCTTTGTCACCCTTTTGGGTAAAACTTTAGTTCTTATCCAATGGGCATAATACGTTTTAATGAAACATGGAAGTGATGTGTTTCACATTTTGATTGGCATTTGGTTCAAACCAATTTTTATGGTTTGCCTTGTATTTAGCTTTGTGAAAGCATGTATTTTATAATATCTTATCAGAATGTCAAATTAACTCTGGACCACACATTCTCAAAGTTGAAATGTTAGTGGTAGAAACATGTTTGACCACTTAAATCCATCTGCCTTTTCTAGGAAGCTATGTTTATTGCAGTGGGTAGACAGATTTTGAAAATAGATTATGACACTTTGAGGACTTTTAGTATTCAGTCTGAATACTAAATAAATACTAAGTATGTCACTTACATACATTATAATTAGAAAATATTTCTTTAAAAGGAATACTTAGAAATGTGCTATTATCCCAAGAAACCTGAAAAAGACAAAAATTACCACTCCCTAGAGAAACCAGTTTTAAGTAGAGCTTTACTGTTTTGTTTTGTTTTTAAACTGAGAATACAGGGAACTAGAATTTTCCTTCCAGTATCTCAGTCATCTTCTGGTAATAGAACTTGTACTTAATGATACGTGGTAACTCTTTCAGACATATTGTAGGGTGTAGGAAAATCTCTCAACCACAATATTTAGAAAATGGAGATGTTCTGCTTTATTAAAATTTTTGCAGTGATGTGCTAGGGCTATCTCCCACTGGTTTGCTAGAGCCAGTTACAAAATTTCAGGATTTTTGTGAGCTGGTTATAGAAACAGCCATTATTAAAAATTAAATATATATTTAATGCATATACATTTAACAAACTACATTAAAAGAACACTAATAGACACTCAAAACTCATCATTTCTAATAATTTTATCTATGCTTGAGATTGTTTACAACTATTTTATCTGTGTGGTGTGCTGCTTGTGATGTATTCAGTGAAGACACATTGGTAGCCTGTTGTTGATCATGGTGATAGCTTTTATACCACGGGAATTGATAATGCTGCAGATCAAAGCTTTTTTCCCCCAAATGGCTGGTGGTTAAATATTTATCAGTACACCACTAATTTTAGGCTAAATGAACTCTCAGTTGAAAGCTCTCTCCTTTAGCCTTTGATAAAAACTTAAGATTTCATAATGCTTAGAATAATCAATCATCTTAAAAATTAGCAAGATCACCTCATATGACATATAAAAAGAAGTATGCTATTTCCAGGTCAATTTTATATAAAGTATCAAGTTGTAAATTGTTTATGTAAGCTTGTAATATTTTGTCTCATTGTAGCTGCTACTGGTGACATGCCAACTTACCAGATCCGAGCTCCTACTACTGCTTTGCCACAAGGAGTAGTGATGGCTACCTCACCAGGAAGTTTACACAGTCCCCAGCAACTAGCAGAGGAGGCAACACGCAAGCGAGAGCTGAGGCTAATGAAAAATAGGTAAGCTGTTGCCCTAGAAATCAGCAGCCACTTACTTATAGGACACATAACTTACTACTGTTATTGTCAAGAAATTACATTTCTTTTTTTTTTGCTATCATTAATCTACAATTACATAAAGAACAAACACTATGTTTACCAGGCTCCCTCCCTCACCAAGTCCCCCACACACACCCCACTACAGTCACTGTCCATCAGCGTAGCAAAATGCTATATAATCACCACCTGTCTTCTCTGTGTTGTACAGCCCTCCCTGTAACCCCCCACAACACTATACATGCTAATCGTAATGCCCCCTTTCTTTTTCCCCACCCTTATACCGGGCCCTTCCCACCCATCATCCCCAGTCCCTTTCCCTTTGGTAACTGTTAGTTCATTCTTGGGTTCTGTGATTCTGCTGCTGTTTTGTTCCTTCCATTTTTCTTTGTTCTTATACTCCACATATGAGTGAAATCATTTGGTACTTGTCTTTCTCTGCCTGGCTTAAGAAATTACATTTCCTAAGCTGTTCCTCCCAAGTAAAGTGTTATGTGGCATTTTATGTGACTTTGTGTTCTGTGTGTGAAAATAATTTGACTGTATTTTAGTCAGAGTTCCTAGCCATGAAACTATTTCATCAGCAGTTGGTACATCCCTATGTTTTGTAGGGTAATGTCTAAAAGATACCTTAATTGTTTTGATGATGGAAGGACTTTATTACAGATTAAATTTATTTTATATGTGATATTTATCTTGAAAGTAGGTGATAAATATAGTCTTTGTAGCTTCTTTATGAACAAAATATATTTAAGTGTCAGTTAAGAATTTCCTAAGTTGTATATACGTGGTTTCCCTTTATTTTTAAACTTTCTTTTTTTCTCTATTATACTGAAATACATATTTATTCTTAAAAACTCTAGTCAAATACAAATACAGGGCAAAAAAATTATAATTTCCTCCTAGCCCCACTTACTAGAAGAGACCCACTAATACTGTAGTCTATTTATTTCCCATCTGCTTTCTGTCATTTTCTCATGTAATTCTTATATTTCTGTAATTTTTTTTTTAAACAAGTGTATCATAAAAATTCTGTTTTTCAAAATTCTTTTCAAAATTAAACTTGAATATTATTTTTTGGCTTAGTTTTTATGATGGAGAATGGTGCAAATCCATCTGATTTTTAAAATGAATAGACTAGTGAGTTTTTCCAGTCATCTTGTCTGGGAAAGTGTTAAATAATGTCCTCACTGTAAGAAAACAAAATATCTCAGATGGGATCATGTTCTTCCTTATGATCAGAATTGCCTGGTAGCAGTTAATTTACTAGGTATTTGCAGCCTAGTTAATCTAGAAGTTGTGGCTTCTGAGCCTTTAAAATTCAGAAATAAGTGCTAAGTTCATCACTGTCCTTTGTGAGTGTGAACCCATAGCAGCTATATTCAATTTACTAGCCTTTTAAATATCATGATTTGATATATTACAGGTACAGTTCCTGTAAGTAGACTCCAGCTCCCAAGCTTGTTAATTATCACAGGTCACTAGGTGAAGTCTTCCCCTGGAGAACTCAACAGATTACCAGAAATAGGATCATTAAGAAATACAAGTCTTTATCAGTGGTTGTCCAGGTTCACTAAGTCATGCTGGCTTCACAGTTTTCAATGGCAGCATTTTGCTCAGAAATCCTGAAAGAGCTGAATGGGTGGGGCTCGCATAGTATCATAGCTATTTTATGGAAGTCTTGTTATCAAACATCTCTAATTTGATCAGATGGAGGAATATAGATATCTTAAAACTATACCTTCATAGCTCTCAGGAGTTATGAATATAATAGCCTTTCTGTTCATAGATTGTATTTTGTGAAGTTCATATTACAAATACAAAGTGTGGTGATAGGATAATAGTGCAAACTGTAGAATTGTCATTGATGTCTTATTTTCCCAAAGAAAATAAAAAGGAAGAACTGGGAAGAAGCCTTCTTTCTTAATTTTGTCACTGTTCTTTATCTTTATTTTAGATTAAGACATTTTGTCAGTAGAACTACCAAAATGAAACACATAAATATTAGGCAACTAGTTCCTATGCACATGCCCTGCCACTACCTATACATATGTATGAAAACTCCCTGAGGGGAAAAAAAATAATAAAATTCTGGGTTTTCAAAAAATAATTAGCTATTGGATAGCATTAACACTTGGGCTGTAAAATAACCAAGAGAAATAGAGACTTAATCTTGTAGGTGATATTTGGATCTAATACTGCTGGTCCAGAGATACGTGTAGCCAGGACAAAGGTTCAGCAGGGTCATCAGGGATGCAGGTTCCTCCTCCCTACTCTGCTTCTTCAGTGAGTGACATTCACTCCGCTGATCACAATGTGGCTGCTGCACCTATGGACATTGCATTAGGGAGGAAAAAGGGAGAAAGGCTAGAGCCAAAACCTAGCTGGCTGTGTGTGGACCTTCTGAAAACTTGTGGGAGACCCTCCCTGCAATTTTCACCCACATTTTATTAGCTGGAAAAAGATGACAGAGTCTCCAGCTCTAAGGATTCTGAGAAGAGTTTGTTTTAGCTTTTCAAATCTCGATTTCAGAGCAAGACAAGAGAAAAGCAGATGGTAGGTGGCAATTAGGTTGCTCAGTATCTGCTGAGCAAGTACCAAATACACATTTAAATGCTTTATTTCTACTGTTTAATTCTCACCTAACTTTCACATGAGAATAGGTTTGGTTATCTTTATTTGTAGATGAGGAACTGAGATTCTAAGAGGTTAAATACTAAGTTGGTTAAGATCACATAGCCCAAACTGGACAGAACCTGGGTATGTAATCCAGGCAGCCTTTATTCCAGAGCCTAACCACTGTACTAATGCCAGAGTCACCTCAAAAAGACCTTGGTGTAAGCCTCAGATTTAACTGCATGGAAAGTATGTAGGGTTTACTTAATAACATGAAAGACCTCTTAAAGATGTCCTATCTTCTTGTGTTTTGGCTGGCATTTATAATAAACTCCTAATTATATTTCTGCCAATCCAGGCAGTTTTTATATCTTTACAGCCTTGTCCGCTTTTCCTCTTTGGCATGTATTTCCTCTGCATGTTGAGGTTATATCTAGACAAATGCAAGGCCTGAAAACTGAGCTATTAATAGAAGAAGCAGGTGTTTTCCATAGCTGAGGAATACCTAGGCATGTACCATCTACTGGTGTGATCATTTAAAGGTTGGAACATTGTGGCTCTGATAACCCATGCATGCACACACATGAAATATGATGTATGATATTTATAATAAAGAGCACACCTTGTTAAATAAAATTTTTTAAATGAAACTTCCCACAAAACTGCTACTAGATACTTAAATTTTTATTTAATGGTAACTTGTTTTTTAAAATGACTGTCTTCATTCCAGATCTAGATTATATGATTTAGTAATGAAAATCTTGGTATTCAAAAATGGATTTTAGTTCCTTTGTAGAAGAGAGTTGAACTGTGTTCCCAAACTGGCAAATTTATATGTATGCTTGGATTTATTCTTAAATTTTCCCTGTGCATCATTTGGATTAATATGTATTTATCAGATTCCATTCACTTTTACATTTTTCATTGTTTTGTTAACCAGTTGAGAAGTCTGAGAACTTTGTGAGTTCACAGGGTGAGCACATTGTTCTTGGGTAGGAAGTAAGGGTTGATCTTTTCCTGCAGTTCATTGGGATTTCAGGGTCTCTTTTCTGCTGACTTTTGCTTCCCACAGAGAAAACACAGATAACCACTTGTTAGAGTCAACTATCCTAAAAATAAAACAGTTGGCTCAATCTGTTGTACATTTTACTCCTAGTTCAGAATTGCATGTTGCTAATTGGCGTTACAGTAACTGGTGTTTAGACATGTAACACAACTTTTGTTAGTATATATCTAAACTGTTTCAGTGCAGGCTTTTTTATTGTGAATGTACCTCTAAGGCAGTTCTTCTCAAGTGAATACTCCAAAATAAAGCTGTTTTCGGAGGCTATATTCTATAGAGGAGTTAAATGATAGAGTCACCACCCTCTTCCACTGAAAAACAGGAGGGAGAAAGACAATGCTGGCTGTATTCGTTGTTTTTTGGTGCTATTATGCATGAAATGATAGCTCCTCTGTTTGTTGTGTTTGCTGCTTTGGCTGCTGGTCTGTTCTTCCCATCGGGCATATGCCTGCGGCACTTCAGGATTCTGGAGCCTGGTGGGTAAACTGGCGACTGGAGACCAGGCCTGAGCTACACTTGAGACACTCAGCTGTCAGGAGACACTCATTCTCATAACGCTCGCGGCTCTCACCCCCCGGCTTCACACCGCCTAGGTCACTGAGTACTTGTGTACTCTTCCTCCCTTCAGTCTTCAGAAGCAGTGTCAATTTCACTTTGGTTTATGAAAATGTACATGATTTGTTCATTATTATTTTATCCATGTTGTTTTCTAACCAATAAACTGTTTCTTACAGTCATGATGATCTTATTTGTTTTACTGAGATTTAGCCTTAAAGAATTAAAATCTCCAATATTGACATTTAAACTTTCTGAGGATTAACTTTTCTAATATTTTTTAATCAAATAAAATTAACTCATTGTGATGGAGTCTTGTCCCTGGTGGACAAAATAATTAAGAGAATTGAATGGATCTGAAAGTGTTTTTTGTAGAAATTCTACTTGCTGATGTGGTCTTACTGTTTTAGTTTACTGCCAGCCATTCTGGTCACTATTATCATGGAAAATGTGCCCTAAGGAAATACTATTTAGGACAAATACTAGGTGAATGGATTGTGCTCTCAGGTTGTTCCTGTTGTTTTAGAGTAAAAGTCATGTGCTTGGTTACCTTTGTTGTGTGCCTTTGTACAAACCTTACCTAGGACTGACTGGTTTTGAGTCCGGGGAGCAGAAGTCCCTTGAGCTGCTCTGGATTGTCCTGGTAGGCCATGCCTGTAGTCATCTGCCTTGTGTTGGTTCCAGGGAAGCTGCCCGGGAATGTCGCAGAAAGAAGAAAGAATATGTCAAATGTCTTGAAAATCGTGTGGCTGTGCTTGAAAACCAAAACAAGACTCTCATTGAGGAACTCAAGGCCCTCAAAGATCTTTATTGTCATAAAGCAGAGTAACTGTCTTTGACTTGGACCTTGTTTACTATGAACTCTAATCAAGGCAGGAGATGGAGCAGTTCTACTAATTGCCATGTGGACTTGTGGAAGGGACACTTGTGACCCTTAAGAATCCAGTTTGGCTTAGTGTTTGAAGTTGATTTGGGAATGTTGTTCCAAGATTTGGAATGCAACCATGATTAAATTTACCAGGCTTACTTGAGGCTCTGTGAATAGCATGCAAAACATGTTCTGTTTGCCCTTTTGCTTCTACTTTTTTTCAGGGAAGCTGCTAAAGAATGTCGACGTCGAAAGAAAGAATATGTAAAATGTCTGGAGGGCCGAGTTGCAGTGCTGGAGGTTCAAAACAAGAAGCTTATAGAGGAACTGGAAACCTTGAAAAACATTTACTCTCCCAAAACAGATTAGTAGAAATATTTAACAATGAACTGATTGCAATATGTCAGTTGCTTTGAAGGCAATACAATTATATAGCCACCAAGAATCATGACTTTTTTCTTTTGTATCATTCATCCTATTTTCTAATCTCTAACATTCCTAAAATGCTTCACTGTACATAGTTAACTCTTAGCTGTAACTTCAGTTTTTTAAGATAGACAAGCTGTAAAAAAAATGTAGGTAACAAATTCTTAAAATGTAGTATTTTGTAAGACTTGTTCCAATATTGCATACTTGCAGTTCCCAACCTCTGTTGTGAATAGTGTCCTATGCAATAAAATTTTTTGCAGGTCTTTAAAAATCATTTTAGGAAAGGATGATCAAAAGTGATGCATCCAGCAGTACGATAAAAGCAAACCACAAAAACATACCTCAGGAAATAACTGAAAGAATGCAATGACATGCCCCTATGAAAATAATAGCCTATAAATTAATTTATGCCATTTGCAGACTTTTATATTGCTCAGTTGCTTTGTGAAGAAAAGATTGTATTGCTGTCCTTGAATGCCACAGTTGAGAGTTTTTAATAGAACCATGTTGGTTACACTGTGTAGTGTTTGTTGCTCATTTAACTATCTGAACACTTCCTACAGATTTTACTCTATTGTGTAATATAAAAAGATCTTGCAGTAGTTCTTAGTATCAGTTTAATATTAGTGAAAGTTACAACAAATTTTTAATATCTGGAGCGAGATACAAGTCGTTAGAACTGTACTGTATACCTCTGCAGGGCGATTCTACACCAGGTCATGATTGCTGCAAATGCTCTTTCTGCCATCTCAGCAGAAGGAAAGCCCCAGAGCTTTTAACACAGATGAGTAGCTATTAGGGATTCGGCTTGTGTGGTGGAGTGGACCTTTGCACACATGGTCTGGAAAGCTGCTCATGGCCCTCTGTTTTGAGTTTTAGCTAACAGCTGTAGGAGTTTGTAAGTAAAAATAAAAATAACTCCAAGAGTTTATTTTCCATTTTGAAACAGCTTGAAGTCTACATTAGATCCATTATTTTTATGTCAGCACATGCAGAGGAAGTTCATTACAGCAAGACAGCAGTGTTATGACTAGTACCCACATTTCTGTTTTTATACTACAACATTTCAAGGTATAAGCCCAAAGCCCTAACCATAATATGCTATGTCATCTCTCATTCACTCATGAGACATTTGTTGAGTGTATACCAAGTGCTAGACTGCTGTACTTGCTAGACTTCCAGTTTGTCAAAGGTGCTATCCCTCAGTTTCAGTAGATGAGCTGGTCCATGTGTACAGTGAGGCACAAAAGCAGGGGGGCATTTGTGTAGCATCTACCTGCTGCTCCTCACCAGCAGGATTCTGTTACTTACCTGTAACTCCCATAAGTAGGGCATGACATTTTTGGCTTTCCTTAGAAATACATGTTCTTCCCTCAGTTTGAGCTCTGAATTTCTTTTATCTCAATTTCTGACTTGTCTTCTACAGAGAAGTAAGATGAGGAAAAAGGGCAAGGAAGAAAAGAGGAAAGGAGAACCCCAAGTTTCAGGGGAAGGAAAACGGTGGTTGGTAATCATTCACTCATTCCCTGTCCATGAGATAAGTGTGCTGCCAGAGTGGACACTGAGTGGGAGGCTCACAGATCCACAGATGAGATATAAAAAAGTTGGAGGCAGTAAATGCATTGTTAGGATTAGAGGAAAATGTAAGCAGTGATTAAATGAGAAGCAATGCCATGGGAGGCAGGTTTTGCACTGGGCTTTGAAGTAAGTGCTGGGGAGGAGGGTCTGCCAGACAGGAGTACAGAGCAGGCGCCCTACTCCAGGGAGCATGGATTTGTGAGATGGCCCATGAAGTGAGACTCATGTATGAGTTTAGTTTAAAAAGGGGAGAGAGAGAGAGAGTGAGCGAGCATGTGTGTGTGTGCGTGCGTGCGCTCCACTCTATCAAACAGACTAGGTTATTTCAGAGGAAGAGGATTGCATTTGATTACTGAGAGCCACCAATAGTGGTTCCCCCCCAGCAAAAGTTTAAATAGTAAGGAAATTTTATTATCTTACGAAACAAGAAGTCCACAGGTAGGAAATCCCAGGGTTGCTTTATTGAGTGACTTAACAATGGCATCATGACCAGAATCTCGCTACCCATTTTACTTTCTGTTTAGGCTGGTTCTCCTGATCCTAACATTGCTCCCACAGCTGCAGGCACAAAGAGGCAGCAGGCAGCACCCTCTCTTTTATCCTGTTTTATACGCAAGGAGAACTTGCACCGATTGAATCTCCATCAGCAGCAGATTCCCTCTTGAGTCTCACCAGCTAGATTTTTATCATCAGCTCCTTCCCTAGCAAGGCCTGGCCAGGGGGAGGAATTAAAAGTTGTGCCTTACAAGTGAAGACTGAAATTCACTGGGGCTGGGAGGGTTCCAGGCTTCTGGAAGGATCTGGAGATCAATGGTAAATAAAATGGTAGTGCTGGAAGCTTGCAAAGGCATACAAGGACTCTTCATTCTTACTCTTATTTGTCCCTGAAACCAAGCTTTTTCTCCTAAACTAGCACAGTTTGATAGCTCTCCATTCAGCCTTAAACAGATACTGCTGCCATTCTGTCACTGAAAAGAGCGAGCAGCAAATATTGCACATCTCATGCAACAGTGTTGCAGAGAAAAACACTGCATTTGTCTTTTTTAATCCTAAAAGTTTCAGAATCTGGACTTTTAGATATAGAAATGACTGAACCCGGATCATTGGGATTACACCAATGTGTCAGATTTAAGTAGGTAGTTCATAACATCACATCATTTGAAATGGGAAGATAAAGGAAATGAACTTCCATAATGTATTTAAATGGGTTTGAGCACTTGGCTTGCCTGAAGCTGAGAACACTGCATGTCTCCTCAGTTTTCTTTATGTCCTCTTCTCAGGTCTACTCAGGATGTCTCCCAGGTATGAAAGCACACCTTTAAAAAAGATGGGCACTTGTGAGACCAACACACTGATCTTTCTAGAAAAGATCAGAGATAACTAAGTTTAACTAAGAGATAAAAAAGTTATCAGAGATAACTAAGCCATTTGGACGTGTGTCAGACTTTCCTGTTACTGTCTGGTACCAAGGGTTCCAGAAGCTTAAATGCTCCCCACTTTTCCTAAAGTCATCATCCTAAAGACACAGGCCTGTTGCTGAACTACTCATGTGTGGTATATTTAACCTTTCTGCTTTGTGTAGAGCTTATTTCTATATAAATCCAATTTCTCATAAGTAAGTACATTTCATATTCAGACATTTCAGAATTCCAAATGTATCTTTAGCATAAAGCATTTTTTTGCAGCTTTTTTTTAATTAAAAATTTTTTTATTGAAATGTTATTTCTATATAATCTTATATTGGTTTCTAATATACAACACAGTGGTTCAACAGTTACCCATATTAAATCCTTGCCCCCTTTACAGCAGTTACATCTGTCAACATAAAAAGATGTTACAAAATCATTGACTATATTCTCCATGCTATACTGCTATCCCAGTGACCAGCTTATATTATGATTGAGAATGTTTGTGTCCCTTTATCCACCTCAGTCTCCCCACCTACCCAACCCAACTGCTCCTTCATGGTAACCATTAGTCCCTTCTCAGTGTCTGTGAGTCCCCTGCTGTTTTGTTCATTCTGTTCTGCTTTGTTTTTAATATTCCGCAAACAAGTGAAATCATATGGTATTTGTCTTTCCCCACCTGGCTTATTTCACTGAACATAATGCCCTCTGGATCCATCCATATTGTTGCAAATGTCAGAATTTCTTTTTTATGGCTGAATAATATTCCATTGTATATATGTACCACCTCTTCTATGCATTCATCTGTTGATGGACACTTAAGTTACTTCCATATCTTAGCTATTGCAAATAATGCAGCAATAAACACAGGGGTGCATATGTCTTTTCAAATCAGGGATTTTGTTTCCTTTGGGTAAATTCCTAGGAGTGGAATTCCTGGGTCAAATGGTATTTCTATTTTTAATTTTTTGAGGAACCTCCATACTGCTTTTCACAGCAGTCACACTAATTTACATCCCCACCAGCAGTGTAGGAGGGTTCCCCTTTCTCTGCATCCTCACCAGTATTTGTTATTTCTTGTCTTTTGGATGTTGGCCATCCTAACTGGTATGAGGTGATATCTCACTGTGGTTTTAATTTGCATTTCCCTGATAATTAGCCATGTGGAGCATCTTTTCAAGTGCCTGTTGGCCATTTGTATTTCTTCTTTGGAGAACTGTGTGTTCAGTCCTCTGCCCATTTTAATAGTCTTATTTGGTTTTTAGGTGTTGAGGCATGTGAGTTCTTCATATATTTTGGATGTTAACCCCTTACCAGATGAGTTGTTTACAAATATATTCTACCGTACTGTAGGAGGCCTTTTTGTTCTTCTGATGATGTCCTTTAATGTTCAGCAGTTTTTTACTTTGATGTAGTCCCACTGTTCATTTTTTATTTTGTTTCCCTTGCCCAAGGAGATGTGTCCAGGAAAAAATTGCTCATGTTTATATTCAAGAGGTTTTTGCCTATTTTTCTTCTAAGAATTTTATGGTTCCATGACTTCAGGTTTTTGATCCCTTTTCAGTTTACTTTTGTGTATGGAGTTAGACAGTAATCCAGTTTCATTCTCTTACATGTAGTTGCCCCGTTTTCCCAGCACCAGTTGTTGAAGAGGCTGTCTTTTCCCCACTATATATCCATATCCATAGCTCCTTTATCATATATTAATTGACCATTTATGCTTGGGTTTATATCTGGGCTGTCTAGTCTGTTCCACTGGTCTATGGCTCTGTTCATGTGCCAGGACCCAATTGTCTTGATTACTGTACCTTTGTAGTAGATCTTGAAGTCAGGGAGCATAACACCCCCTACTTTGTTGTTCTTGCTCAGGATAGGATTGCTTTGGCTATTTGGGGCCTTTTGTGGTTCCACATGAATTTTAGAACTATTTGTTCAAGTTCATTGAAAAATAGC